CTAAATATAACTAATAAGCAAAGGAAATACATATGTGGCTGTGCGTTAACATACATATGCATCTATGTGCTATAGTTACCCAAGAATGCGAGTTTTAGAGGTGCGAACAAGAATATAAATACATACATAAATACTATGTAAGAAACAGAAATTTAATAGCTCTAATGGTTTGAAGATCTAAAGCGCAGGTTCGCTATTTTGCTATTATGAAGGTAAAAGCGATTTGTGAAATCATTGTTTTTTTATATTTTGTCACGAATTCTATTGATTCGCTACGAAAGTCAATTCCTATAAAATTATTCACATAAATAAATACTTCTAATTAATCGAATTTGTTAAAAAAAAAAAAAAAAAAAAATTAAATAAAAAAAAAAAAGAACGTAGATTGTAAAAAAAAAAAAAAAAAAAAAAAAAAAACAACTTTATTTACAAACGTTATGAAGATATAAATTTGGAAAAGGTCAATTGGGACAAAATTCTGTATAAAGATATTAATTCTCTATAAGTGAATGAAGTATGAGGAAATTCTATAAATTATGTTTATGGTAAAGTTTTTGATGAAGAATTTCATACATTAAAGCTTTAGATCGAATGATTTATTTATATGAAAAAAATTTCTTTAATCATTTATAAACATTGTAAATACTTATTAAAACCGACTAAATTTATTTATTATTGCAAATACATTATTTTCCACTGCAAAACATAAAAGAACATACAAGAATTATAAAATTTCTTTAAAGATTTATTTTCTATAGTTGTGTAATAATGCTCATTCGGGCAGTTTTATCCTATTAAAGTTATGGTATCTCGTATCTCGATAAAATCGACTTACAATATAAAAGGATATATATTCGTGACAGAATACACAAGCGAATTGAATTGTTAGCAACTAAATGAATGAGAATAATAAAAAGTTGTAGAGCTCAAATATTTATTGTGAAAGCATATGCTCTCTTAAATGCAGACATATATATAAAGCAAAAGAAAATAAAAAAATAAAAAAAATAATATAAAATAAAATAAACAAAAGTGCAACCATATATAATAAATAGTTATAAATAGAAGATTGAATAAGAGCTAAAGTGGCAAAAGCGCGACGTGAGATGGTTTGCAGGATATTGTGGGAATAAATTTTATTTCATAATCAAACGTTAAAAAAAAAAAGACGAAAAATAATGAAATTAAACATAAATAAATTAAAAATAAATATATCAAAGATCTATGCTGAGCTTGGATCTGAGATTTCGAGAACGTTGCGGAAATTAGTGGAGTAAAGAAAAAGGGTTGTTGCATTTGTTAATTAGATTTTCGTAGTGAAAAGGCGATATAGCTGGCTCTATCGTAGTATTTGGAGCGTTATCGATCGCAAATTTCATCACATACTGATAAATAGCCATCCCACGACACCAGAACAACAATCATACATAATATACATACATATATATATATATATATATATTTAGATACAAAGGCAAGTCGACTTCATTAAAGTGTGGTTGTGTACACTTCGTTAATTTAATTTTTCTTATAATTTTTTTTTTTTTTTTTTTTTTTTTTTTTTTTCAAAAAAAAAAAAAAATATATATATATATATTTTTTTTTTTTTTTGTCAACACATACATACGTCTTAATGACATAAAAATGTATATCGTTGTAGCAGCTCTGCTAAGTGACGCCAAGCTTTCAGCATGGAAACTCGTGAAAAAGCAGGCGAAAAATGACACTGCGAAATGCTGTATATATAGTTAAAACAATAATCATATGTTGTACGGGAGTACATATGCAGTCAAAGCTACGCAAAATAAAAATAAAAGAAAAAGTAAGAAAAAAAAAAATATATATATATATATATAATAGCGATACGAACGATGCGCGAATATTGGGTTCATATGAGCATTCTACAAATGAGACAAACAAATAAAAAAAACGAACTTTCTTCTAATTCTGCGTTCACACACTGATCGTTTCTTCGTCGACGATTTTCATATGCTATCAGAAAAAAAAATTGAGAAAAAAGGAGTTACAAATAAAAATAATAAAAATAAAAAAAAAACATTGTTCTTCATTATTTTGCACGCAACCTTAAAGCCCTTTAATTTAAAAGAATACAAATATTTTATTAAGAATTGACTAAACAGCTCGGTAACATATTAATACGCAGCCGTCCTATTAATTTTTTAACTGTTAAACATTAATATTCTAATATAAATACTAAATTATGAAAATCAATACAGTAATGTACAAAAGAAGTTATAAGATAATAAATAATTAGGGACTATGTATGAATTTATAAGTTTGCCGGTTAAAATCTTCTATCGATAAGGGATGCAACAGAAACAAATTTCTAGCAGTTTTTAAGTTTTCAACATACATATTAATGTATATTGATATAAACCATTCGATTTATTGATTAATTTCATTATTTACGCGTACACGAGAATTAGCTAAAATCTTTAAAATTATTATCCTATACAATCGAGAGATTTATGAATATCGACATTGTAATATTGATTTTTATTTCTTATTTTAAATTATAAAAATAAAAATAAAATTATCCTTTATTATATAGTATAAATTTTAGCCTAAGCATATTTTCATTGGCGATATTATAAATATGAAATGTAGTTTTAATCCATGATATATTTATATTTTAAACTAATGTGAAATAGCTAAGATTATCAAAAATGAATGCCAGCTTTTCATTATTGTTCTTAATATATTTTTATCATTAAAATGTTTTTCTTATAGCTAAGTAAAATTATTATAGAATATAAATGAAGGTACGAAATTATGAAAATATTATAATAATTTTTCGTCTTCTACATTAATAACAATTGCACTCGATACATCGATTTAAAGAGATGATATGTGCCTTTTCTTAATTCATACACTTTATTGGAAAAAAGTACAGTAAATGTTGAAAACAATTTTCTTAATGTTTCGAAAATGATTCTCTCCTATTATTGTATAATCGTAACATTTATTTCAATAAATAAATACATTGGGTTATACACTTATTTAGTATTAATATACACATACATGAGTGAATAAGTTGGTAAAACATAATGAACACAAAATTCAAGAAGATCAATAATTCCAAAGTATTTTCAAATGTAAAATATTGTCAAGATGCTTTAATAATATTAACATTCTATTAATTAATGTCACGAAATTTAGGATTTTTATTTAATTTAACTAAACAAAAAAAAAAAAAAAAAAAAACCAGGATAAGATTAAAATTTAGTAAGGTTAAGAAATCAATGAGATATAAGATGTAAATGTACAAGTTAAGTATGTAATTTATTATGCATAATTGTGAATTCGCTAAAGTTTTAAAGCTAAATTTTTAATTAATAGGCTGTTATTCGAAATCTAAGTCACCCACTTTTATAATTATTTATATAATATTTTTCGCAGACACAATTTTCTTTTTAACGTCCTTTCAATATTATTCATGGACCATCTCGATCTTACGAATAAATTCAATTAAATATTAATTATATAATGTACGCAGAAGACTGCGAGTATACAGGGTGAAATCCACTGGGAGATAATTTAATTTATATATAAATATGGGCAGATAAATCATCTTAGGTGTTAATAAATCAACGGCAGCTAAATGGACACTGCGAGAATTATCGACGTAGCCAAGCGCAAATGGGTCAGCAGTACATCTTCAAATAGATGCAGCGTACCCTTTGAAATCTACTCCGGTCGATCAGACTATATTAAATAAAAGCCATTTTCATAATTAAACTTATTTTAATGGCACAATTATTTACTCATACAAGATGTTTAATAATTTAATAACAATCTCCAGAGAGTAGCAGGCGGAGTACAACGTGACCTACAACACGCCGCAGCCTCCCAAGCTGCAGTAGATTTTATTGCCTTTCAATAATACAGTGATAGCTTGCCGTTACCACATGTGCGTTACGTCCTGCAAACCCACCTACACGAGCCCTTATACTTTGATGCTTTATAGATCCGAGACGCACCCTCATCCGCGAAAATCGCCTCCTGAAAATAATTCAGCCCGCATGAATGGGTCTGAAGAGTCAAGCTTTGCCCGAAGCTTTCCTCCATGCATGGTTGCACAAGCGCAAAAGTACCGAGGCACAGCATTGACTACGAAAACAAGGACCTCCTCTTTCGCCTCTCCCCACCGCCGCCACCACCACCACCACCACCACCACCACCTTATACCCGCTCGCATACGCGCGCACACACTCACTCACTCACTCACTCGCGCGCGCGCGTATCTTAATTACGAAAACGGCTGTCCGAGCTGAATAAGCTATCCTCCCTCTAGCCCCAAAGCTGCTGTAAAAGCTCCCTTCCCTAAAATTAGTCTCCCATCTCTTGCACCTCGATGAGCACAAAAGTGAAATTCTTTGTTCGTTCGGAGGATAGGTTCACCAATCTCGTGCATCGGCCAATAAGAAATTACGACTGAATCAATTCGCGTAAGCCTTAATTATTTCTTAAAGAATTGGAATCCTTATGACCTCTCTCAACTCATTACGCGTCATTTACGTTTTATGCATTTATTAGATATAATATCACTCTAGTGGACTGAAAAATTACATACAACCTGGTAAGTATTTTCTCAATCAAGTGATTACTTATCGAGGGAAAAATTGCTTTTATTCGTTTTTCTACGAATGAATTTTGATATGTACAAGAGACATTCGAGTCATATCCAGTAAGTTAATTGCATGTGAATGTAATTATTACAAATGCATATAACACGTTTTTGTAAAAATATCGATAAACGTTTTTACGAAATTATTTCAAAATATTAAAGTAATATAAAGCACCACACTTACAACTAAACGAATTAGATGGAAACATATTTTTCGAGTTATATACATCTCATTTTTATTACAACTTTACTCTTGTTTTCATAATCGAAAATCAACATACATGTATATATGTAATGTAAAGAAATCGAAAAAACAAAAACAAAAAAACAAAAAAAAAACAAAAAAAAACTGTATTTCGTTATTTATGTAAGAGGCGCGAGAATGTAAATGAAGCGCCATATATTTACAATTCTTTCTAAACATTTACATATAATTATTAAAAGTCATAAAATAGTCTCTAATAATTCTAATACTTTGATCAATATAAATTATTATTGTACTTGTTGGATGACCTTAAGTTTTCAGTGACATACTCTCAATAACACTACGGTGAGCTGAAACAAAGCTGAACGACTTTGCACACCATGAAGAATCATCCTACTACTGCTCTAGCTTATTACTAATTTTTTTCCAAAACATGGATGTAAAATCCAGGATCCTTGGCTTCTTCGAGGGATTTAAAATCACCATAGATCCGGTGCTTAGCCGAGCCGTGGAAAGCTTCGTTTAAAAAATCAGTGAAAATATTCAGCCTGTGCGGGTAATACGAGAGACGAAACTCGCGCAGACTTTCCTTATCATTGCTTTCCTCGACATTTAATTTTATACAATATTCCAATGTAATGAGCGACGGTACGCCATTCGTGTAAAGTATGGAAGTGACGATTTTCTGCAGATGTTTGCTCTGTAATGTGAAAATGTTATATTCAAAATGCAAAATTCCAATAAGCTAAATTACATAATTGTATATAGTTATCCCTCAAAAAAAATCTTATGTTTTTACTTTTTTCTCTTTCATTTAGATAAAATAGTGTAATCAGATAGAATTATGAATTAATCATTTAATATAATAGTTACTGATATACAATTTAAACTTAAACATCTAATTTTCTATTGTTGGATAGAGCTTCGCTTGTATCCATCTTGCCATTTTCAGGTAAAATTCTAAATTTTATTTTTCCTCCCTAGTTACTCCTTCGTTGCCACTTGAACTATTATTAATATTTTACGATGGGTGATTGAAAAATTCTATGTAACAATTGATAAAATTATACACCTGGGGTTTTAAAAATTGAAGTGAAATTTCATTCTCTTACTTACGTATTTACCTACCTGTATATTATTACACTAAACGAAATTTTTATACGCTCACAACAAATAAATTCTTTCAATTATGTATAAAAGTAAAAGACTGCAACACAAAGTAGCTAATAAAAGATAAAATATTATAGAAATAAAAAATAAAATGCGTACATAAGGATGAGAAAGATGCGAATAGTAATATGTAACGATGACCTTTGAACATCACTTTTTGATGTAAATATTTAATGTGTTTACAATTTCATGATATTAAACTACAGTCTTATCAATATAATAATTCGTATTAAACCGAGTGCGATTAAGAATACTGATTAAACAGCTTTAAAAAAAAAAATAAATAATAGCTTATACGATATAACAATTGTGCAGAAAGGTCTGTTTGTGACGAGCTAAATAATTTTTAATTCTTAAAATAAGATCGATAACGAGATGGATACTGATTTCATTAAAATGTTAAATATCTAAATCTGACGTAAAAAAAAAAAAAAAAAAAAAAAAAAAAAAAGGTAAACATCTAGCTAATCAAATATTTAAATATTTAGTTATCGATGATAAAAGCCGTATAAAGGTTCTTAAAGCTTACATTATAAAGTAAACTTACATTATAGTATATGCATTGCGTAGGGGTTTGTCCAGTTTTTATAACATTATCGTAATTTCTGTGATCAATTAGCAAAAGACCACCGGGTTTGACGCAACGCTCGAAATGTGAAAGTGCTTGGCTGTAAATAATAAACTATCATCGATAATAAGACAAAATAATTATTAAGCATGCTATGGTGTGCCAATAATTTACCAATAAGAAATAAAAAGAAAATCAATTTACAATGTACACTGTGCAAAACAATGTGTAGTTAAAAATGTAAAATTGTTATTGTCGATAAACGTTATTTGTTCCTTAAATTATATATTAGTTATTATTGTAATGAAATAATATTGTAACGTATGAATATTAGCTAAATATGAAATTTATAACAAATCTCAACATCGATATATTAGAAATAAAAATTATTTTTAGAGCATTTTTTAGAATTGTATAAATATTAAAATAAAACATTAAAATAATTGTAAATAATAAGGATATATAGTAAAATACTATCTCTAAAATTTTGAGGAATCGATTTTTTACTTTAGAAAATTAATTTGTATTTTATTGAAAGTATTGTCTCATCGTCGTAGTGTTTTTTTTTTTTTTTTTTTTTTTTTTTAAAAAAAATATAAAAATGAATTAAGTATTTCACCGCTGTTCCCGTTGATCTCCAAAGGAATCTAACATATGGGCGAAACTGTTCCCGAGGCATATTACGGCGTCAAATCCATCACCAATCAGATGCTGCACATCGTCTGATAATGTCAACCAATTTGCTTCTTCGATAACTTGAAAATAATATTATCTATATAATAAATAGCATTATTTACTACAACATATAATAATTAAAAGATATCGTAGGAATGAAGACTCGTAGGGATGTTATACGATTAATGCCTTGTTAAATGTTAAACATACTAATTATAGTTAAAAATTTGCATATCAACTCATATGAAGGAGTGTTATTTGAAAATTTTTAGTTTTTTCTTTTAAATATTTAATGCTTTAAAAATTTGAAATCATAAAAATACGCAAGAGATTTTAAATTACTATCGTATAGTATGTAGTTAATTATGACTTATAAAAAAAAAGATATTTGACATTGATAAAATATATTAACAGAATTTTTCATCTAAATAAAATTATTTATTTAACTTGTAATTACGTACTGAATAAAAATATGCTAATCATCATTATTATTAACCATCGTTTATACTACTTATATATTATTATCAATTAATATATTTAAATAATTCTCGAAGAATTGATAATTAAATATTTGAATGTTTACCTATACCGTTTGAACTTTAAGAGTAAAAATTTTTTGGTCCAGAAGAATTTAATTTAAGATTATTTTAGAAAATCATATATATCATTATTTCTTTATCATGAATCGATGTCATATGAATATGTAATGTATTTCGTACATGCTACTTCGAACTTTTTAATTAGCAGATAAAATTGATGCAAGTTTCTCATTTATGCAATGAAATAATTGAAATTTTATGAAAAAATGTTTTTTTTTTTTATCTTAAGTATGTGTGTGTGTGTGCGTGCGTGCGTGCGTGCGTGCGTGCGTGCGTGCGTGCGTGCGTGTACAATTACATCTATACATTATTTGGTAGATCTCGAATTTTCAAGAAATTTAAGTTATTAAAAAGTATTTAACTGCAAATAAAATATTAATAATAACAAATTTGTCTGTTTCAATTGAGACAATTAATATCATGGTTTTCAAAAAATAAATGAGTAGTTTTATAATAATTTAAATATAATTAATCATCTTCATTTATAATTTTAATTGTTAATGTTACAGTGAAACCTACTAAATTTGAAGAAATTTTAATGAACCTTACAGAAAATATATTTTGCCCTAAATGAAAAAGTTAATACCTAAAAGATATATATTGATAAATTATTACCTATACATAGATTTATTATATGTATATATATATATATATACATTCTATGACGATAGGATACAAATCATTATGAATTATTCATTTCGAGTATATATATTTGAAATAAAACGTTTATAATTTTATTTGCCTAAATTACATTTTATTGAATTTTCTATGCACTAGGTGATTTATCAAAAATTTAATGAGAAATTGGATTGATACACAAAGCCAAATGTCATCGTATAATCTTTTCACGAGCAATAGAGATAAGCGTATGAATACTAAATTTTTAATATCCGTAAATGACGTGAAATTTGAAAATAAATCTAATTATTGCATCTATACGGTATTCAGACTGTAAATATTTATTTAATTTCACAAAATTAGCTTCACAAAAATTTTAAGTGTCTGCCTTAATCAAGTTGTTTAATCAATGTCTTCTATATAAACGATGAATACGGCTACTTCGCACACATAAAATATGTATAAAAATAGTCATATTATCATATGTCAGAAATAATACTGATTAAGAAATTAAATTTTTCGCGTAATTTACACAGTACATATATTTCCATTATTAATTATCGAAATTGTTAGGTTTTATATTTTATCGATTAAGTGCAAAAATATGTTCCACAATAATTTAAAAATAATTTCTTTGTTAATCATACGGAATGTAAGTGTTTGAGGGAATATGTATTACCGAAGACGTATAAGAAATATTTTATTTGAAGTTATCATTATCACTTTCACTAGTGACAAAAATAACGCGTGTACTTGAAAATACTGTACTGTAGAAACAAAAAATAAAACTAATTAGAAATATTTAAAAATTTTCTTAAATTGTATCTTATAAAAAATAGTAAAAAAATATTTTATAATATATAGTTTCATATAAACTATAGTTTCATAATATCATAAATTAATATAATAATGAAAAACAATTGTAATTGCATTATTAAAATGTTGACTCTTGGTAGAAAACGTTTGTATATTGTCAAATATGTGAGAGATCGATATGCTTATTTGTTGCTTAGAACGAAATATATACAAGAAGTAAAAATGGTATATAAAATGTTAATTAACCGATAGTTAAGACGTTACGCAAATGCTTGTTTTACTTTTCTTCTTCTTAACTTTTTACAAGCTTTTTGATGCGTAATTTTATAGATGTTTAGTGATGTCTTAGTCCCTCCATTATCTTGTAAATACACACATCATCATTTAAGGTCAACGTGGAGATATTAAATAATAAAAGCCTACCAATGAATTCAGCATCTATTTATGGAAAAGGAAGTGCCACTCACTCCAATCATCGAAGGATTTCTCTTTCCTACGCTCCCATCGTGACTTGAGCGCATACTTAAGCATCTTGTCGGACGCATCGACGCTCACCACCTCAAAACCTTCTTCGAGAAGCATCATAGAGTCCACTCCAGTGCCACAAGCAATATCCAGTACACGTTTGCATCTCTTTTCCTTAAGCAAGCCGACTAAAAAGTCCTTGTAATTTTGTTTACGCTGCTTTCTATCGCCGATAAACACCTCCCAGACTTTGGCAGCAATACCATCTGCGTATTGGTCCTTGATTCCCTCAGCCGCTGCACCCAACGAGCGAATTTGAAACGCCGAATCCATTTTTGTTACTCTATGTCAATCCAAGTTGTCCTTAGATGACACGAAACATACGTAATGTACATAAAGGAGCATACATAAACCTTGTAAACTTTTGTCAATTGCATTTGTGCTGTCGTAGGCGTAAGAGGTGCTTACAACTAAACCATTCAACCATTCACAACGGACTATAATTAATTTATATAATAATCAATACTCGCGCGCTTACTTTGGATTTACTTACTTTGGTTAGCGAATCTATGTAACGTAACGTAGTTTATATAGTTATAAATTAATTGCATTATTTTTTAATAATACATTCATTAGGCCGAAACAAAGGACTTTAATATTTTATATATTTTTAAAGGTTAATAATGATCAAATAAAGTGAAATAACAATATGTAAACGAGGTAACATAAGAAGTAGACAAAATAGAAAATAATATTTTAATTAATAATATTTTAATTAATAATAATTATTTTAATTAATAATATTTTAATAAAATTTAATATAAAATTAATTGGAGAAAAATATGTCTTCGTATTATTTATTAATTAATTTTTTTTTTTTTATTAATTTTACTAATTAAAAAAATAACACAATTGTTTATAAATAGAATGAAGAATGCTTTATGGATAATGTTATTTTGAGAAATTTAAAAATTTCGAAATTAAAAATTAAAGGAAGAAACATTAACTCCAACATTTGTGCACAATATAATATTACAATAATACATTATATTTTATAAATAAAATTTTATAAAAATGAAAACAAAGCTTAGGTGGAAGTGCTTGAAATTTCTTCGATTATCGTCGTTTTTTCAACATACCAGAAAGTATTTATCAATCATAATAAGAATTTCAATAAATTTATAATATTTTTATTATTAATTCGTAATCAATGATATATAAAAACACTTCGTATTCCTCAATAATGCAAGAAGATATCAGACTCAAACACTTTATTCGTCTGTGTGTCAATTGAGAGTCCATAAATGCCATAACACAACTGTTGTAAATAATCATGTATATTTGACTTCATAATTGCAAACATTTAAGCACATTTTCGATAAGAAGAATATTTTTAAAAATAATATTCAGTTTATTTAAATGTATCGAAATGTCATATCGTATCAATTAAATTTGAAAATATTATCATATTAAGAATTATTTTCAAGTTATAATAAAATCATATTATTATAATTATTTAACATACTTCCAATAGAAAAGAAACTTTAGTTTCATATTTATGTAATTCTTGATAGCCTTTAAAATTATCTATATTGTTGTTTTTTAAGATATGCAATATCATTTTTACACACTATATTTTAACAGTTGCGCGCATGATCACTCATATAAATAAAAAAAAAAAAAAAAAAAACATACATATCTCTTAACAAAATTTAAGTTTCTTAAAAACACTGATGTGATAAATTGAATAAGAAAATACATCGATATACGGTGAATTACAATTGAAAATACTGTAAAGTATTGTACATAGAATATTTCGTAGAAACAGCTACTTATGAATAAACTTTTCCTTCTCTTACTTACCAAATTTCTGTTCACTTCCTGTGCAGCGCCGTTAATAAGTGATGAATAAAAAAAATAAAAAAAAAAAAACGTACAGGGTCTTCTTGATAATATCGAGAAAGAAACTAATGTAAGATCGCAGAAATCGCGCAACTTTATACGAGGCGACCGACTTTATACAAATGAGAGTGGGGTCATGGTGAACAAAGATTCAGATGTGTTGCTTGAATCGTCTCCAAGTATGACAATTTCTTCAAGTTTCAGCAAAATATTTATTAATCGTAAAATCATAATAGAGATTTCAAAGATTTCAACAATTTATTTATTTATGAATATTATTTTACAACTACTTACTTACAAAATTACGATATTATAATATCTTAATTTTATTATTAAACATCTAATCCAACTATTTCATTTGTCAAAATGTAAAGATGTACATGGAAATTATATTAAACATTAATACATGTATAATTAATAATGGCTATTGATTTTCACTAAATTTTAATTACGAGCTAGCGTAACAAATAATAGAAATTTCTTTACACATACATCAATAACTGTGTATACATAATTGTTAACGTTAATGTTACATATATGCTGAGACCTTAAAAAACAAGTTTTGCATGATAAATTGTAATAATAGTCCATTTTATTATACATGTCAAGATAAGAAAGCTTCTATATTTCATAAAATACAAAACCAACTCTTTTTGTTTTTTGTAATAAACTAAATCTTAAGGTTGCTAAAGTTACTTTCATTTCTTACTCGTTACTTCAATTTTATTTTCCCGTAAAAGTCATTTATTCAATAGTAGTTGCCATCGAAATCATTATTATCTCACTTAACACATCTCTCTGTACACATTAAATCAATTGTTTTCCTATCATCATTATTTGTGTTTATTCGTACTTAAGAAAACAGTCTAATACTATGACGAAATCTTCCCAGTTTGACCATCAAGTTTTACGAGTATTTCATATCAATTGCTGACTCTTACTAAAAAAGTAAATATATTACAGTATTAACGGTGTTAATTTTTATGAAAATTCAATTTAATTTCGTTATATTTATTAATGCATTACAGGATATTTATTGTCAATAGTGTTCATAGAAACATTTTTTCTAAACTAAATTGTTATTTCATTCGGATATTAAAAAACCTTGAGTACAATGAAAATATATTAAAAGTGTGTGTGTGTGTGTGTGCGTGCGTGCGCGCGCGCGTGTGTGTTTGCATTTGTACGTGCGTATTTGCATAAATTAATTTATCAATTTATTATAAAAGATTTTTATTATATTTTATTATAAAAGAACAATAAATATATTACATTATATTTATTAAATGACAAGAAATAATAGATATATATAATTATTTGAATAAAAATTTTAATTTCTTAATTATTATATAAGACACTTTAATATTGTAAAGTCCAGGTTATAATAAAACCTTACATTATTTTTACTGTACAAGTAGCAATTTAATTTTATGATGAAACTTTTTAACAAGAAGCAAGTTCAAATGTCGAGGTAGAACTTATAACATTGACTGTAAAGTGGTATTGATTTATGGATTATTATTTTCTTTTGTAAATAAAATAGAATTTTTAATACTTTGAAGTTCCATGGAAATTTACTAAAAACTAATTTACTAATTTGTTCGTTCAAAAACAATAGTAGATGAAGTTTGCCTTTAATTGTGATAATATCGATTTAATTCTAACATCAACAGAACCATTAAATATGTCTATTACATCTTCTAATTTGCGTAACTTAAATTAATATAAATACTTCGACAATATAAGCATTACAGTAATGAATTCGCAGCTCTTCTACAATTCTTCCGGTTTTGCTAGATTTTCATTATCCAATCAGAACGAATTTTCATTAATTTTTTCAGTAGTATTATTTACCTTGTTTATTCACTCTTCAATATCTTTTTGATAATAATTAACATGTTCAAATTAAAGGGTACCTGTACATTAATATTTACGAAGCACAAAGTATCTTATAAAATAGCATTATAATAATAATATTTCGAAATGAGTTACTAATCACTAAAAATTATGAATAATTTGGTACGTTTACTCATATAGCATTATGCAGTTCATTTGACAAAGCTGTTGTTAGAGTTTATTTATGCATCTAATTTTATTTTGCAGTCCAGTATTTAAACTTACGTAATAAATACATAGGTTAGAGAAGAACTTGCACAGAAGTACAAATATGTAAGTGAAACCACTTCCCGAAATTGTTAAAAACCGCATTTTTATTATTAAGAAACAAAAAAAAAAAAAAAAAAAAAATGCGAACATCACTATGTTTCACATAAATATCTCGTTAACTCGATCGTTTATTTCAAGAAATGAAATGCGTAAATCACATTTTTTGTCGCAAAGACAAATTTTTATAATAACGGGATTCATAAAGAGGAAACCAAACCATAACATAAATTCTTTTACGTATATTGCGTAATTGTAATTTTCTTGGTTATAATTTTAAACTTTAAAATATTTAGTGTCATTTACTACATTTCGTTCGACATTTTTCTTTTCAATCTTGTATTTTTGTATTACGTTTATGGTAATATTTTTAATTTATTTAAAAAAAAATCGTTTTTTTTTTTTTTTCAATAAAAGAACTTTATCTATAATATAATTAACAATAATGAATCTTAAAATATAAAATTTTAAAAAATGATCGTTAATATAATAAAATATAAGGATCACATCATTTACACATTATAATATTGACCGATTAATTGAATAATAATCAACATAATTTACTTAAATATGAATATTATTTATAAATCATTTTAATATTAATTATTCTTGTAAGAATTTAAAAATTCCATATCATATAGTTTCTTAAATACTTCAATTTTTAGGCTTGCACTTATAATTAAATTTAATAGTTTCAATTTTCATCGTTAATCGTTATTCATTATTTATTTACACGTTAAATTAAATATATATTTATAACTATATAATAATAATAATAATAATGGTATCTCTCTGATATTTTATATACATATTATATACAAATATTTGAACAACAAAAAAATATACAATTAATTGGTAATTTATTATATTTAAATATTCTGCTTAAATATATTAACTAATATATTAAACTTAAATATCGTATAATAATAAAATATGGAATTAAATGGCTATTTTCTTTTATTTTTAATATTATTTCAATACTATGTCATATTTCGCTATTTGTACTTCTATGTGATATACAAAATTCATGTTTCCAAATACATGCAAATCGATTGTTTTTCAATCATTTAAAAAACAAAATGAATTTTGTGTAAAAATCTATCTTTTGCATTAAATATCAAATATATATGTATATAAATATATATTTTTTTTTCTAAATTTTTTTTTTCTAAATAACGGCTATGTTTGTACATTGAATCCCTTTCGATTTAATCAAGACTTCGAATTCAACTTCGAACTTATCGTTCTAGCCACAACGATAAAACCTCACTGTTATTCATAGCAACCATGTGCTTTATATCTATGTATGACTTTCTCTGCCATCTTATCTTTAATTTGAAAATGAAAAATATTATATTACTTATATATAACAGAGTATATTCTTATAAAATACAAAATTCAAAATAATTAAAAATTTAATCAGATATAAAAGTACGAAACGTAAGGAGTTCTAAAATCATAATTAAACTACATTTTTATATTATTCTATACCGTAAAATAATTATTAAGGAATTCAGCTTTGGGTAGAGGAAAATTAAAGCATAAATATAAGACTTTACTGATATAAGGAAATAGAATTGGATGAAAAATTACAAATCAACCTTATATTGATTACGTAAAATTATACAATCTTGTCAGAAATTAATTAAATTCATAATTTTTAATATTAAATAGGAACAGTAATATTAATTAACAATAACATTTAATTTAATATTTTCTATTTCTTTTACGTAATACATAAATAAAAATTAAGAAAAACAAAAACTAAAAATTGTTATTGTTAAATAATATTGTCCATTTTATATATATATATATATATATATATATATATAAAATACATTAAGTATATTAAAATTATAAATTATTATAATTTTTAATAATTCTGAAATATTGGTTGTATATTAATTCAATATAAATAAAAAGGGAAAATATTTAGTCTCGTACACTATATAACATTATTAGAAAAAAAAATATTATTTAATGGTAATATTTCACTCGGATACAAATCTAAATCAAAAAAAAAAAAAAAGGTCTATGATAAAAATTTTACTTTTATATCCATTACTTGAACTATAATTTATTTTTATTATTTTATGAAATTTAAATTACGGTAAATCGCAATGCTAATTTGACATCATATCTTATCAACATTGGAGATATGTAATATTTACGTATACAAAATCGGATAAAAATCCATATATTATAATTCTTACAGTAATTTTATTTAGTTTAAGTCATTTGCCAGTATTAATTATTCGAGGTAAGCCATATACACAATATCACAGAATTAACTTCAGCAATATTATTCTTATTAATTATACGCTTTGCAACTTAAAATTAATATAACTAATGCCAATCTGTTCTCATAATTTAAATAGAACTGATTGTTCTGATTTATTCTTTGTGAATTATGAGAAACAAAATTAAAAGTACGATATCTGATGTCGACATTTTCCTGTAGGTAGATGTTATTAAAAAAAAATAAAACTGATCATTTTAAAAATCAATATACATGTATCTGAATCTAGTAATATCTAATTCTATAGATCAAATGAAATTATATGCATTTTTCATAATTAAAAAAAGAAAAAAAAAGAAAGAAAAAAAAAGAAAAAAGATACAAAATATATTGGTAAAAGCATTACATTATTTTACATTATTTGAACAATAACGCTTGAAAAATCTTAAATATAAATTTAACGTTAACATATATTAATTTATCTACATATAACACTTACTTCGGTAATTTCGGTAATTCATTGATAAAATATATTATTTCGTAAATAAATTAGAAAAAAAAAATTTATTAGTTTTACTATATTTTGATATTTTCTAATTCGCCTGATATTGATGGCAATTTTAAGAATATGAACGATCTGTCTTGAACACGTAATCCATTATACAAACTTTCACCATATAATGAACGTCATGTCATGCCTATCCATCTTAGTATTTGTGCTATCATTAGTTAATTTATCTGACTTTCATTGAAATCCAAGAATCATTGGATTTCTGATTTTTAATTAATTTAATGGTTCATTTTAAACGATACACACGGCTGACTACGTGTAAATTTGGATATTACACACACTTTAATCACTTAAAATAACAATTATAATAATTATATAGCATTAGACGTACTCGTTAATGATAATAATAATAATAATCATAAAAATTTTTTACTAAAAACATTAATTTTTAATGAGACATAAAGTATTTAATAAACGCTTGTCAGAAAATTTAGTATTAAAAACATTTTTACTAACGTTTATTTTTATTGTAATGGATAATAACCACAATATTTTTTAAATACTTTTATTTCTTCACAATTAATATACATATAAACAAAATCTTTATCAACCATATCTATATACGTTATTATTTTAATCAATAAGGTAAAAAACGTATGATTATGCAATTTCATTCGAAATTATATAAAAATGAATAAATACTAATAAGTAATGAACTTTTGAGGATAAATTCATTCAAAAAATTATTCATATACTTTATGTACAATGGATTTTATAGATGAAAATATTTTGAAGTGAAAAGAATATTTCGTTGTGATAAAACACAGAAGGCCATTTAAAGCATATAAATTTCAGTTTTAACTCGAATTAAAAAGTTTAAAATTTCTCTACAAATAACCTTACAACAATTTAAGATTAAGAAGAAAATCATAACAGACGAGGATTCCAAGATGAGAAATAGATAACAAAAATATACTCAAACTAATTCTGGTTTAAAATACTGTAATTAGAATAGCACAAGATATACAATGCAACTTATATTCAAAAATAAATCGTATAAATATGGCTATAAATTGTCAATATTGACAGCGAATGGTAGCTCAAATTTCCTTAAAATAGTTTTTATATGACCTTTCAGAAACCAAGGAAGATTGTATAGTAATTGAATAATAATAGATATTGCATCTAGCAGATATTCACAAATGTTCATATTAAAACTTAATTTTTCGGCTCGATTAACAATTACAACAACAAAGAAAAAAAAGAAAAAAAATACAAAAAAAAAAATATATATATATATATATATGGATATAAAAAAAAAAGGACAAAAAGTAAATTAAGGGTACAATTGAAATGAAAGTGGGAAATGAATGAACTATTTCACTACCGCTTATTTCCTTTCGATAAATCATCAATTAACTTTTGATTGGTTGAAAGGTAAAAAGTGATCACAGATGGAATAATAATAATGCAGTAGTAACAACGCTTAATCCCTGACTTACTATTTGTTATCACATTTTTTTGTTTTACATCTCTTGTAAATGTCCACTAGGCATTGGCAATACTTTGTGCATGCAAGTGAAGTAAAAAGAGACCATGACAATACTAAGGACGCTTAATTAGTTATTGTTGTGTGAATGCCTTATTACCATACACTAAACTCATTTTCTAAATTTGGGCACCTTTCAATACTCGATAGCAGATTCCTTTTATTTTTATACATTATACGCTTACGTTTGCTGCAATTTATTATAAAAGTATATTATATTACCGCTACTTATTAGAAAACTTGATTAAAAATTGCATTATTAAACAGCTTTATCAATGAAATAGTCAAATGATAAATGTCTTATTGATTCGTAATGTATTCCCTTATATTTATACCATTATTATAATAAGATAATTATCTTCCAAATCTGTACATAATAATAATAGAAATAATATTTTATCAAATATTGCTGACTAATCTATACATTATTTTTCATTTGTTTCCATTACTTTTGATTATTTATTTATAAATAACGTACAAAGTATTATGAAATTTAGCCAACCACATAGATTTCTCCACACTTTAATATTCTATTTAATTTTTTGTTTCTTTTTGTTTCTTTTTTTATTGAATTACAATAAACAACTTGTAACAAAATAAAATAAGAAAAATATGAAGAAAGAGGTTAACAATAATTCTTTGCTTTCCCAGCCATTATCTACAATTCAATAAAAATTTTAACCCTCCTTATAAAATTCTTTCGTACCATTATTCTATATTATATTACTAATAAGGTGTAAATAAATAAAAAAAAATGTCTGTATTAAAGTAATGAAAGGTGCCTACATCTGTGATCCTGACAATAGTATTGTATACGGAAAAAGAAATAGAAGAGCATTATAGAGCTAAAGAAAGAGGAGACCAAAAATCAAAACGCATGATTCTGATTATGGCTTTGCTCTCAAAAGTTCCTTCCGCATCTCATGCCATAACAAGATTCAATTTATTTCTTCTCGAGAAGTCAATTAACTGTCATTATCTTAAGTCTAAATCACTCTCTCATTTAATTATGATAATCGAACACTCGTCAGCTGCCTCCAGTGCTTCATTAATGTAGGAGGCACTAACCTCATATATTTTTTAGATCATCGGGTAAATCGTTCTTAGGGTGCTTGTTTTCGAAATGCTGCTTGTAAGTCTTTAGGTCTGGCATTTGTGCCTAAAATTACAAATCAAATTGCATTATTTTTACCAATAATACCAATAATACATTGTACGAATGATATAGAGAGCAAAATTTAGCAAAGCTTAAAAGTATAATGAATTTTTTAATAAAATACGTACGATCTTTTGCACGAAATTCTTTATAAAAATATTCAACTTAATATTTATAAAATTGAGCGACGACTGAAATTTGTCAATATCATTCGTCGATCGATGTATATTATTAATTCGCGACAATTTAATCGTACCAGTGACTATTATTCATTAAGCACAAGAGCATATTATTATCGACGTAATAGAATATTTTAATCAACAGCCATGAGACTCGATCTTAATATCGTTATTTTATCGAGTTGAAAATTGAAAGCCAATGAGGTTTGAGAAATTTTTACAAGAATTGCAAAGAGTACGAACCTTGCATACAGCACAAATGTGAACCAAAGCCTTCTGCGCAGCTTTTTTCTGTTCGTTAGCACTGTGGCCCTGTTGCTTTTTTGCCTTTGCAGCTTTCTCAGCTGCCTTAGCTTGAGACTGGAGTTTCTGTTGTCCACGAGCCATTCTAAGAAATCAGAGTATATTACAAATGGTAAGTATATAGAAATCAATGAATGAAAAGGATGTAAATATAATTGAAACACATGCAGGGCAAACAAGCGTGAAATGTTTTATTTCATTATTCCAATTAATAAATCGGCATACGCGCGCGCGCGCGTGCGTGCGTGCGTGCGTGTGTGTGTGTGTGTGTGTGTGTGTGTGTGCACGCGGGCGCGTTTATACTCATGCACGATCGTTGCAACGTACAGAATACTTTTCAAGATTTTAAATCACACAGCTACGTTCAGCGTATTTAAAGGGGGAATAACAAAAAAAAAAAAAAAAAAAAAAAAATAAAAAAAATAATAAAAAAAAAAGGATAAACTGGCTTGAAGATACATTCTCATATTGGTGTGGACGAGTCAACAGCAGACAAATCGACGAATAATTAATTGATAATTCCAATAATTATCGTGGAGGCAAATGCGAAAGACGTAGCGTGGTTGGTAAATTACAGAATTTTCACCACGTTAAATCGATAAATCCTCGGCGTATAAATAATTGGAATACTGGGACTCGGGGACTCGGGTACTGGTCGCGTGGTGCCAATATTGTAAAGATATCGCTTCTTCCTCTATTCCATCTTCTAGAACACGCTGTAACAAACCGTACTCACCCAATTTCTTTGACTTGCCTCCTCTTCACCTACGAGCGAAAGTAATAGCTTTCCTTCTTTCGACGAGCGCACGTGCAGCTTCTAAGGCGATAGAACGAACGAATTGTCCTTACTCTTGTGAATGATAAATAATCCGTGATCGAGGGGAGAGAGCGAAGAGACGAAAACGGCAATGCCGCGTGCGTGTCTTCGATAAATCTACTGTAAGCTCCCTCGGCGCAAGTACCAGCTGTGGTTTTTCTCTCCTCGTTTCTTCTTCACCTTTTTAAATTGTCACCCGACGTAGGACGAGCTCGTCGTCCCGAGCTACGGATAACTATCTAAATACTGAATTCTTAAAGAGCCTGGCGTGACGACGGGGGCTGCGCTTTATGCTTTCTAAGGCGCGAAAAGCCTGTAAAATTATATGTACAAAGTGCGGCTGCGGCTGCGGCTGCGGCTCCGGGTCACCGTTCACAGCCGACTGAAGTTTCTTTAATTGTTCGAGAAGGTGTACCAATTGATGTCGAGTCGAAAGAAAAATTGTAATGCTAAAGTGACGATAGTTGGCTTACTGATCACTATTGTTAGCCGCTAGCCGATGCCATTTTCCATCACTTGCTCTCAGCCGCAAACGCGAGGAAGCGGGATAACAAGCCGAGCAGAAATGGCGGCATTAATCAAACTCGCTATTAAAATGCTGAATAGATCGTATTCTTAGTTTCATACGTCCTGACGCGTTGTTTTATCGTTAGGAGGCATTCGCTTGATAATGCGTTATTATCTAAGACATCCAAAGCAATGGCTTTGAGATAAATAATGAAAGTTATGGGGCAATCGCGATATTATAGCGGATAATTTGATCAATTTCGCGAGAAATTTTTCAAAAGAACAATTATAATTGAGTATAAATTGTTAATGTTATAATGATTGTGATGGGACATTGTTAAATGAATTCGGAGCGTATCTCTCCCTATTGGGAAATAAAATCCCAACTCAATGGCAACTGAAAGACAAACTAGCTAAGATGTACGAATATATAAAATAAAAATAAAAATAAAAATAAAAATAATAAAACGACCGTTATCTCTCGCTAAATATTAGCATTATAATGGAAGCAATTACAAAACAAAATGAAAACTTATCATTATTTTACCGTTTGAATTGAAAATTGAAGCAAAAGTTTGATTATTTTAGCAAATAATATTGTACTTTTCATAATCCGTGCTTTTAATTACGTCTTACATACGTTTGATTTACGAGTTGAATTTTCACGAGATTGTTCACATTAATTAATTACATTACATTACATTAATCACAATTAAACATACAGATTTAACATACATTTAATATATAACCATAAAAAACAATCGCGTTGCTCATAATTATGCTGACGATAGAATTTAAAAACCTTACTTATATTAGCAAGGTATTAGCAAGTGGCATTCGGACGCTAGATTTAAAATCAAATTCGCCCTTTTCAATAAAAATGCAACTTTATTATTAATGATAACGAACTCGAATCGTTGTTCGAAGAAATTTTCCACAATTGATCCAACCAACATATCGATAATCAGCTTTTCGCTATTGATTTATATGAATTTCAATGTTCACGGAATTCATCGATTGGCGATGACGGTAAACTTATTCATTTATAAGGCAATTTTATATTTCTATAGAATCCTATTGCATTCCGTGTTTGTGCATCTCCGATCATATATAGTCAAGTTCACTAATGGCTGTTTTTAGTTGGAAGGATAATTCATAATCATGGCAAAAATTGACGTTATTTTACATTTGGAACTTGAACTTTCTTTCCATTACAAGCAAATTGTTTTGTTTTTTGCTTTCTTTGTTTTTATTTAATAACAATTTAACATAAACAGAAACAAAAACAAAACAAAAAAAAAACCAAAAAAAAAACAAAAAAAAAAAAAAACAAAAACGAAAACATAAAAGCGTAAGAAAAAAAAGTATTCAAGATAATTTATGACATTTTACGTACAAAACAATAAAAAGTGCTTAAAGGTTTATAAGAAATAAAATAATAAAAAATAGAAGAAATAAAACAATTACTGGACAATTATGATACAAAAATTAATTAAATTACATTCCTCGTGTTTACAATTATTTGTCATTATAATGTTTATTAACATTATATTGTTTAAAATGTCATTTAATTCGAATATTACACAATTCTAAAAAACAATTACAAATTCTATATTGCAAATATTTAGTCTTCTAGTGTTATTGTAATTCAGATAAGAAGATTCCAAACAAATTCTATGCCTCGTATCTCTTAATATTACCTTTTCTCATATCTTTACTTATATTTATTAATTGAAATTTTGCTAAATAGGCAAAACAAAACAAAACAAAAACAAACAAAAAAAAAATGTGCACGCTTGTGTACCGTTGAACGTATTATTATATAATAAAATTATTATTAGATTATATATTGAAATATAATCAAAATTTGAGGGGATTGGATCGAGCAATTAATTCAAAGCTCCAACGTGAAGCAGCTTCGAGAGAATCATTTGCGAATGATTTTTCAGTTTGGTCGATCGTATGCACAATGACTTCTATTTTAATCACGACGTATAAGGAAAAAAAAAAAAAAAAATCAGAACAAATACCCATTATCTGCATTAACTTGAAATGAAATTTTAAACTACTATATGCTTCGATATTACGATGCTAATTTTAAGATATTTATTATTATTTTATATGTTATTTGTATTTTTATTTATAATAAGTTACGAATCAACGAATTTTTATCATAATTTTGTATCCTATTGAAACCCCCTATTATGTAATACACAATAATGTAGATAATTGGCAAATAATTCAATACGAAGTATAGAGCGTTTAGAGTTAAATGGAGAGCAAAAATCATGAACGATGATAGTGAAAGTCCACGATTATAATTGAATTTTATTACAGTTGACGAAATTATTAATTAAACGGTGAATTAATTTCCGTCCCTATTATTATTATTATTATTATTATTATTATTATTATTAAGTAAAAATTATAATATTATTATTAAAAGAAATGATCGGAAAAGATTGCCGGCAAAACGAAAGGATTAAAAATTTAAATCAAGTAAATTGAAAAACTATGTAAAAAAAAAAAAAAAAAAAAAAAAAAAAAAAAAAACAGAGAAAAGAAAAGGTGAAGAAAAAAATTACTTATGCGTGAACGCGTGCCTATAATATATATATATATATATATATATATATATATATATATATATACATTTGTACTCTAGTACTTAAAGCTGCAAATCGATAAAATATCGAACTTATCGAAGGACAATTGGCACTCTTGAGTCCGAAAATTGGCTTTAGCTTTCTTCTTCAATGTCCGTTTGATGATTTTACGAACGTTTTCCAATTTATAAACATTAAGCTTCTAATGCAAAATCCCTATCGCTAGCGGGAGCTAGAAGGAGGAACGAGGAATTGGTGCAGGGACGGACGGTTGCGTGAATAAACGAATGCGAGCAGCGGAGTCGGTATTTGGTCGATGAGCACGAGGATGAAATCGCGTAACTTCCATGACACGGGGAAGGCGAAAAATCGAAACTCCAAGGCGACGGAGCTTGCAGAGCTATTGGCTTTGAAATTAGGGAACAAGTGTCCCAAGCCCGCGATCCGATTCCGACATTAATATTCTTATTGCGCGATTCCATTTCTTATTCGCGCAGGCCTGCGAGCCATCTCCTTAGTCCAATACAACAACATCGAGCGGAATCCGATGTATTAGCGAAAGTTGTCCGAAGCTGGCTGTTTCTTCGAAACATGGCCGAAGATCGTTCCGTAGAGAAATTTCGCGTGAAGTGAAAAGTCAATAGAAAGAACCTGGCGAGTTGAGCCCGCCCGTAATAAGGGTGAGAGACGTGTGTTTCGCGCGTTAGCGTCCACGAACGTTATGAGCTCGATTCACTTTGCCGTTCATCCCCTGCCAGGGACGGACGACCAGCTCAACGACAGGTCAGTGTCTAGCCGTGCGCGACTTCCTCTCGATCTCCATTTCTTTTCGACATTTCCCCTCTGCCTCGCGATCGTACATCGGCTGCAGGCTCGGCCAAGCGCTCGACAATGGCCACGTCGACGACGTTCGCCCGTGTGGGGCGGCGAGGGGAGGGAGCTATTATCGCTGCCCAACCTGGAAACGGCTGTTTTCTTCCTCCTCGCCTTCTCGATGTTTTGGACATTCCGAATCTTAATGTTTTTGCACACGCGTGTATACGTATACGTGGCTCTGTGAATGCTTGCCCGCGCGCGTGTGCGATCGCTCTCGCTCTCGCTCTCTCTCTCTCTCTCTGGCGCGCGCGCCTCCGTGTGCGTGCGTGCGCCCGTGCGCGCGTCCCTGTGTGCGTAGGGATAGGTCGTGTAATTTTTATTATAATACGACTTTGCCTACTTCGGGGCATTACCAAGATCCCCATTTTTTTTTTCACTCTCTTCTCTCCTCTAAAGATCGAAATTTTTCTTACTTTCTCTCTCTCTCTCTCTCTCTCTCTCTCTCTCCTTTTTTCTTAAAACTTTTTTCTTTTTTTGATCTTAACATGTGTTGCCGATAGCGTAATTGTGTTTATACGACTTAATTCGAATGGAAAGAGCCTGCACGAGTCAATGCTTAATAAAGACTATTCATGCGTTGTTTATTATTACACTTGGCATTCTACACAACCTGACATCAATCGTTTTTAAATGCATAATAAGTCGTACATGTCATCGTAAAAGTCGTCATGATTTTTATTTCCATTATTTCCGTCTTATCCAAACAATATTGCAATTGCACGATTATCCTGTATCGTAACCCATCAATTCCTTTAAAAAAAAAAAAAAAAAAAAAAATAAATAAATAAATAAATAAATAAATAAATAAAAAAAATGAAATTATGTTAAATTGCAAAAATACAATTCCATATCACAAAGAAGGTATTGTATTCTTATCTTTATATTGCACATTTATTTTTATGCAATAAATTAGTGGGCAATCTTTTACATATATATATATATATATATATATATGTATAATATCTTTCAAAGCAAAAAATAATAACTAACGATCAAATTATCTTTCAGCTCTGCAATTTATTTCTTGCTTACAATTTTATTTCACTATCTACTTATAAATGTTACAGCGATATCTTTTAAAGGTGCCTAAAAAAAGTTACTTACCGATATTTTTTTTACAAATCCATCACCAATTTCTATTTGATAATTAAAAGATTGTAGTTAAAATTAATTTTGTTATAAAACTGCATTGTAATTTGAGGTTACAAATTTCAATGAAAATGATGATATAAATGTAACCAAAAATTCAATTTGTTAATAGTATAAATAAAATGAAAAATATATATGTACTTAAAATAATTTCTTTATAATCTTTAGTATTCATAGGTAAAAATGACAAAATATAAAAAGGAATAGTTATTAGAATATAATACACCAAATTAGATATTATAGGTTTCATTCGTTTTATCACATACGATAATAACTTATTTGAAAGATAAAAGTTTTTAAAAACTACTAGTAAGATTTATCGACGATTGACCTAACAACTTATTAATCAAACAAATATCGTTTAAAAATATTTTCAGATTAAGAGAAGTTGCAGAAAAAATTAACAAATATGGTTTTGTTACACCACCAGCCCTTAATGGACTTAAAGTCTCGGTTAAACGAATTGTTGTTGGACCATCACATGTTGGATTACTTATGGACGACAATAGAATTTGCCGTGTTGCATTCACAGTTCTTTATGACAGATTGGATTTGCGAAAAAGTGAACCAAGTAGAAAGTATGTTCATGTCGCAGCATAATTTTTTGTTTTATTATAATAATGAAAATACTATTTGATTAAGAGTAAAGTAATAAAATTAATATGCACAACTCTGAATATACATTGCCCATAAATTACATATACTTATTTAATAATATAAAATTAATTATTACATTCTGCTTACTGAAAAAAGCAATCGAAATAGGCGACTAAAGAATTGCTACTAAAATAATATTTAAGATACAATTTCAATCGTTCATAGCCACTTAATAGTAATTATACGAAGAAACAAATTTTTTTTAACTTATGTATACCGTTACCTTGTGAATTAGAAATATAATTACAATAAACGCTTTAGAATATTTTATATTTCTTAATGAATTTAAATTAATATGATTGAAATTATTGATGGAAGACTCTTATAGCAGTTGCTCGCACAAACATCCTGCAATTTTCATATCTATTAATGCCTTTGAAACGTAAAGTATTGAAGAGCATAACTTTTAATGCCATCGCTTCTTCACAGCACCAGCAAAAGTCACGTGGGAAATTCGACCACGGCGCCCAGCAGCAGTGGGAACACAGGCGGTGGGAGCAGCGGCAGCGCTGGGGCCAGCAGCAGCAGCAGCAGCAGCCGCGCCGGTATCTCGCGCTCGCGGGCCCGCATAATGCGCAGCAGCTCGGCCATCCGGGGTGGCGGTAGCGGTGGTGGCAGTGGGAACACTGGCGCTGGGGCTACGGGCAGCAGCGGCGGTGCTGGGAGCGGCAGCGGCAGTCGGATCGGACCGCCCGGCGTCATCATGAGTGGTGGCAGTGGCAGTAGCTCGAGACCTATCGTCTCCGTACCACCGCCATTCGTGCCGGAAGACCTCATATCACAAGTATGTACGGCCTTGGCCGGATTAAATCTCTTGGGCTTAAGAGCAGCGCGCTCTGCTGTTTGGTGTATTTCATTTAATCGTAGATCTCATGATGCAATTCGTGAGATCAAGTGAGTTTTCAAGTGTCCAAAGTGAAACAGTGTTATAGGGAGAATTGATCTTTAGTAGTGCGTTTGTGGGGTTGAAGGGAGGTGGGACAATGTTCTGGAAGTTACATTATCAATGGGGAATTATTGGTAAGCTAAAAAAACATTTACCATTGAATGTTTTTATTCAAAACTCTACATTACATTATAATTGAAAATCAATTATGTAATGTATGCTATTTAGATATTTTATTAATATATTTTATAAGGTGTTGCATTTGGCTTTTAAAAAATGTCTTATGTATGGCTTACATAAAAGTTGATAAAGTAAAATAGATTTATTGATATTTAAAAATGATATAGATATTAAAATTTATTTGTAAATTATTTTCATAAATAATATGTATATATATATATATATATATATATATCATTATGATTATTAAAATTTCCAAGTCATAGTTAAATCTAATTTTATTGACAAATAAATGAAGGTAGCATTGATAGCATTAATATTGTAACATATTTTAAACATAATTAATAATTATGTTAAAGAACATTAGAAAAATATATTGAATCAAGAATCTTTATATATCCTTATTTCTATATGAAGCAGGTGGAATTAAAATTTGTCAAAGTGCCTGTAAAACTGTTGAATACACATTCTTAATTTATCGGTCTAATTTCAATTTAATGACATACAAAATTATATTATTTAATGATTAATATATTATGATTTTTTCATTATCATCATCTTACAATTTGATTTTCATTGTAAGATTTTTAAGCATTTTATTTACATTAAAAATATTAGAAATACCATAGTTATATATATTATTATGCCTTAAGCGTTAAACGAATATACTATAATGTTGTAATAATTAAACTATGGACTACCAAAGTGGCAAATAAAATGACTCGTTTATACGTAAAATCATAAAATGAAAATATTTCATATATTCTACTGTTAATATGTATAAAATTAATTTATTAATAATTCGAATGTACAATGAAAAGTAATAATATATTTTATAGTCAGGAACAAAGAAAATTTTCAACAATACAGATTAATCAATATACAATCAAATATAATCAAATATAATATTTTTATTTATATTTATTATAGGCACAAGTAGTATTGCAAGGCAAAAGTCGTAATTTAATAATGCGCGAGCTTCAACGTACGAATTTGGATGTAAATTTGGCAGTCAATAATTTATTGTCAAGGGACGATGAGGAAGGTGATGATGCAGAAGATGCAGCCGATAGTTATGTACCAGAAGATCTTATATCATTATTAGACGGAGGATTTAGTAATGAACACTCGGTTATTATCGATGCCGATTCTATGTTTTCCGAAGATGTTTTTGGATATCCAGGAATGAGAAAGTATATAAAATATTTAAATCTTTAAAGAAAAATCCTACATATACATGTACATATATTTATTTGACTTTGTTGATAGATAATTTGTATTATTTAAAAAATATATAGTATTGTGTATGTGTAGGTGTAACAACAATTTGACCTCATTTGTTCCATCAGAATAAAATGTCATTATTATTTATGTAATTATTTAGTATACACAAGAATCTTAAATTTCATTTTACTTAATACTGCTTATCATTATTCTCACTGTTATGTTTTTTCTTACTATTATGCTTTTTCGTAAATTATAAATATTGAAGCCATGTATTCTATATATATATATATATATATACATACGTGTGTGTGCATAATCTTTTTAGCCGTGGTAGTTCATCGCGCAGACTTGGTAATGATCGAGACAGTGAAAGATCGACGGAGCGTGACAGAGATAGAGATAGTTTCAGTCGATGGAGAGATCGTCAGTACTACGGTCCACGACGTTGGCTCGAAACTGCCTTGAAAGACTCTTGGGAGAAAGATCCAGGTAATAAGAAAACAAATGCATATTTAACTTATGAGTTTTGTTTCTAAACGAGATATATGTTTCATTTTCAAAAAATTTAAAATTCATTTTGAAATAAATAATAGCGATAAAATTAATTCTAATTAATGATATGATTAAGTTTAAGTATCAGTTTTGAAATATTAATATTAATCAATAAATGTAATTTGAAAGAAATCTTAAATATTGAGTTTAAATTTTTTATCAAAATAAAGAAAGAAGAAGAAGAAAAAAAGTGTAATTTAAACGTAAATTTAATTCTTATAAATTTTTTCTTTCAATTACATTGACTGCTGCTTTTTTATGACTTTTGAAAATATATAGTATTTCTTAATTTAAAAAATCAAAATTCAAATTATAATACACATATAGAATGTTTTAAAATAATGATCGAGCTATTAAAAATAATTTTAATAGCTCAATGTGCATATTTTCTATTTAATTTAGATATTAAAAAAAAGGAGCTAGCATCTCAGTGTCCACTCTGGATATCCGAAGAATTGGAGTGGTGGAACGAACGTAATGAATCAGCCCCTAGGTTTGTACAAATAGCAGCCCTTTACAGCGAATTAATCGCAATCTCATCAACGGGTCAATTGTATCAATGGCGATGGTCTGATGCCGAACCATACAAACATCCAGATGTACGTCCATGATTTATTCATCTTTTGGTCATACATACGTATATAATTAATATTCAAACTATAATGCTTAACTTCACGTTTCAGAATTCTAACGTACATCATCCAAAAACTATAGCATTAAATTTGGTGAGTGAGAAGATAATAAACATATCCGCAACGGCAATTCGTTGCTCCGTTAGTACGGAAACCGGCAAAGTGGCAACGTGGCTTGATGAACTCTTAGGACACGTTGCTTCGAGATTGGAACATCCGGCTCAAGCCTTTACCGAATTCACGTTAGATAAAATTATTTCATTGCACACTTGTGCACTCTACACTGTTGCTCGTCTTGAAAGTGGAGCGCTTTATTGGTGGTTAGTATTTACTTTCTATTTATTTATAAATAATTATAAATACGTCGTGTGTTTGGTTTGATAGTTTCGTTTGACATTTTATTATGTCGCTGCATTAACTTTATTTGTATTCACAAAATTAGCTTCTCTGCTACATTTATTACAATACTAAAGCTAAACTATGAAAGATATTAAAATCAAAAACGATATCTTTATAGGCCATGATTAATTTAACATAAAAAGTGTAAGCACTGAAATTTTGATGTTTCGTATGTTTGCTAGGGGTGTACTACCATTTGCTCAAAGAATGAAATTATGGGAGAAATATAAAGCAAAGTCGAGAAAGCACAGACCGTCAACTGCTGTATCTGCCGACATAACTTATGGCAGCCACGTATGCATGAAAAATAGTCCTATATATCAAGCGGGAGCTATAGGTTAGTATTTAGTAATACTAGTAAATGAATGTTCGAAAGGTGATTATCAATATGCTTAATTAACCTAAAATTCTTACCTACGCATTAGGCTTTACAATAGCCAATGGTGTTCCAAAAGTCGTACAGCTTTTGTCGGCAGTATGGAATCTCGATGCGATCTGCCGTTTTAAAATCTTGCCCGCTGGCATATTACCACCCAATGTAGCAACGGAAAAGAGAGAGTCGAATGGAAATGGATCTTCGAACAGCAGTAATAAGACGAGTCACAAAGAAACAGCTGATAGAATTGATATGCCACCTCCACCATCGCCTGCTTCTAGTACATGCAGCGACACTGGCAGTATAACAACGAGCCACAGTAAGTTCATTCGAATACATTGTAACAATGCGTGGTTCGTCAAGATTTTCCGTACACTTACACTTGCATAAGATGCAAAAAATTTATTTATTTTATCAAGCAATCGGAAAGTAATATTTATTAACAATTCATAATTGAACGATAGCGATTTCACTGTTAAGTTTATGAAAAAATGATTAAGAATTTTTTTACTTCTTATAGAACGTCAAAAACGCGTTGCGCCCAAGAGTGAAGGTGAACCTGATCGGAAAGATGAGGAAGATTGGCATTTAAAAGACGTTGTTTTCGTCGAAGACGTTAAGACACTTCCGATTGGAAAAGTAATTAAAGTTGACGGCTGCTATGTGGCAGTTAAATTTTTTTCAAAAGATTCGAAGGAAAAGGAGAAAGAAACAAAGGATAAGGAATTTAATAATTCTGATTTCAAAGACGCAACAGCTGAAGAATCAACCAAGCTCCTCGCTGACTGTAGACTTCTCAGAAAGGATGAATTAGTGGTTAGTTTGATTTATTTATTGATTAAAATAAATATTGGAAAATATTTTCTAAACGAGTATTTTATAGGTAATAAAATCGTCTATGAGTTCCCGAGCTCCAGACTGTTTTCAACGTACTCCAAGACGTGTCAATATTGCCGAAGGTTCTAATGAGAATCTTCTGACAATAGCAACGGATGGTCAGGGTATTCATGCAATTCTACGCAGTGGGAGTAAATTAAGTTATGTTATTTATAATCTCAGCACTGGAAGATACGTGCAGGATTGTTACATTCCATCAGATATTTCTTCATTTTTGGGCTTACAACCACAAAATATCAGCTTAACCAGTGCTGGAGAGGTAATGTCAATAATTAATTGCCCTTATTAGTTTTATATTATACACAAGTGAGGATAACGTCAAATTATTTTATTTTAACCAAGTCAATAAAAATATGAAATAGTCAAAATGAAATTAATTTTGCATATTGTATATAATGATAATATGAATACATAATTACGATTTTATGTTAAATCAATAATTCACATATCATATGATTTATGAAACCCATAAGCATATTTATTTGTATAGCTTATATAATGAAATATATAATGTTTAATTAATATTTTATAGTTTAACTGATTTTTTTTTTTTTTTTTTTTTTTTTTTTTTTCAATTAATCAAATGCAAATTGATATATCAATATTTATAATTTCATTAGAAAGAAGAAATAAAGAAAGTAAATGATATAACTTTACATAAAGGTATGTAAACAAAGTGTCATATAGTGTTATTATAAATAAAACAAACTAATAACAGATATTGAAAAGAATGTATCCATATTAATTCGTGGATTTTTAAAGGAAGGAAAAGGTGAAAATAAATTGTAAGAAATATTAAACTTCCAATATTTATGTTCAACTATAAAAATAAATAACACACATGCGTAGTCGTAATTATTATAAAATTATTATTTATTATATATGAACTTATAAATACTTGTGTAATGGATTATTGCACGTGAGTAATACTCTTTCATATTATAGAATACCGAATGTTCAATGATTCTTCGTGATGGCAATAATACAATTTATCCAATCGCAAAAGATTGCGCAGATGCCATTCGAGATCCAAATTGGCTAGATTTAGTACCAGTGTTTTGCATTGGTGCATCGACCATACCAATTCCAAGTATTCCAGCAATGAATCTTAAAAATCAAGTCGCTGTCATTGCACTTGTTTTCGACACTCTTTTACTTATGCCTCGAATTTTGAGATGCGATTATGATGGCGTGAAACAAATTTTCGCCAATTTAGAACAGGATTTAAGTAAGTAAATTAATATTAATTCATGGATAAAATAATAATGTTATCCACTAATATTTCTATAAAGTCTTGATGAGGTTTGATTTGTAATTATCATGAATTGTAATTACCAGCGGATATGCTTTCGACAGCATTGTATTTAAAATATTGTATTCCTAATTAATACTGTAGTAGATAGTATAATGATTTTTACTTCAATGTTAAACTGCAATTGGGAATAACTTAATATATATAAATAAGTTTCATATATTTACTTTATATCTTTATATTAATTAATATCTTATCGCAGAGGCAAATGCTGCTCAAATGCAAACAATTCTCAATGAACGTTGCGATGGCAATCGTAATATCCTTCATGCCTGCATCAATATGTGTGCTCCCACTTCCAATAAGGAAAATGACCAAGGTAGCCTTTGCAAAATGTTATTAATATTCATCGCTCTTTGAGTTATTGTTTTTAAGATATTTACATGATGAATTTTTGAATGGTATAGAACACGAATTAGTTACAAACACAGTAGACACCAATTCCGCTCCGATAGAAGAACCCATTCCTACATTAAGTTGGCCTCCAGAAGCTTTTGACAATACATCGGGCGAAGAAGATTCATTACTTGGTATTGGAGCCACTAGCATCTCCATGATTAACAAAAGTGGTATGTTTACATGTACCGATGTGTACATAATTAAACATCAATTATTAGATTTAATCGTTGTTAAAATTAGATTTTAATTTTAATTTTGACATTTTAAATTAGATCATCATTGATTTAAATTGAATGGGATGTCATTTTTAAGTATTTATAAATATTTTTTAGGATCTGCTGCAAATAACACCTACATAATTGATTCTGTTGAAAGACGAAATAATGCCCTATTAATATTGAAATTTATGTGCGAGAGTCCAGTTTTAGCTCCACATCTAAAAGAATTACTTTCTGCCAGGTAAATAGAGCGAGCCAAGAATGTTAATTTTATTTTTTAAATTTTATTTGCTATGAAATTCTATTATAATTAAGGTTATATGTTTATTAAGTATTTTGGAATTTATCCTATTTGTATTGAGAAATTAGGGCTGATTTAATACATTGTTTATAGTTCCGTATATATAAACATATAAATCTATGCCATTTATGCTTACATCGTACTTTGTTTTTCTTTTCCACTACTATTTATAATTTAGAATTATTTTTGATTATGCGAATGAGAGATAGAATTGGTGTGGTTGAGAGCTCCTATAGTACATTTGTATTAACATTAAGAGTGGGAGTAAAGTGCGCATAAAATACACCAGTTGTGGTCTAATTTATGTGTGGATACAAGCGGGACCTTTAAATTTTGTTTCGATGCATTAATTTTAATTTTAAATTATCATACAGGAAAATGCTTATTATTACTATCCAATCGATATTAATGTAATTATATATGTAATCAATGAAGAATATTTTCCATACATTAATTTATAATTGTCTTAATTTGAATTCATTGGTGGGAGTGCTGGAATTTTGATATTCTTCACCAAAATATTGCACCGTATCCTTATAAAGTAGTCGTAGATTCGAGCCTCGGAGTACAGTAATAATACACAAAACTAAATTTCAATGTTATAGAGATGCCCAGGGTCAAACACCTTTGATGCTGGCCGTTTCAGTCCGCGCATACCACGCGGCCCTGATAGTTCTCGATACAATCCAGCGAGTAGGAAAAGACGCGAAGGACTGTTCCTCGATGATTCTGCCATCGGATGCGAATCTTGATCTCTCGCCTCTCTTTGTCACATGCTGCAACGACACGTGCAGCTTTACCTGGACGGGTGCCGATCACATCAATCAGGATATTTTCGAATGTCGGACCTGCGGTCTTACTGGCTCGCTATGCTGCTGCACCGAATGCGCGAGGGTCTGTCACAGAGGACACGACTGCAAGCTTAAGCACACTTCGCCGACGGCTTATTGCGACTGTTGGGAGAAGTGCAAGTGTCGTGCACTGATTGTCGGCCGACAGAGCGCCAGATACGATTTGCTCTGCAGACTCGTCACTAGTACAGATCTCGCTACCAAGATCAATTCCAGGTGTGTGCGTTCGCTAGCAATTATTAACGAAGAGATTGTAAATTCTAAATTTCACTGCTATTTTTGGCAAATATATGAGCAGCTGCCTCGGGAACAGATTTAAAGATGTCCAGGCATTTTCTTTAACGGTTGTTTGATTTTTACAAAATTATGTTAAAAACGGGCAAAAAAAAAAAGTACTAAATTTAACTTAATGGAAGTTAATGGAAATGCACAATCAATGTATAATTACGTGATGGTTTAACAACTTATGAAACTATTGCAGAGGCGAGTCGATCCTTCTGTTCCTCGTGCAAACAGTCGGTCGCCAGTCGGTAGAGCAACGTCAGTTCCGTTCGGGACCACGACAGCGCTCGACCTCGGCCAACCGGAAGAACCCCTCGTCGGACGGCATTTGCGCGGACTCGGATATGCCGGAGCACGACCTCGAGCCGCCGCGATTCAGTCGTCGAGCCCTCGAGCGTCTTCTCAACGACTGGCCGGCAGTGCAATGCACAATTATGTCCGGAGTCCACGAGAGCGTTGCCGAGCAGCTGTTCGGCGACCAGGGACAGACCTGCAAGCAGAGCGGCACTGCTCTACTCGACAAATTCACATACTCGCTGTTGGTTAAATGCAGCGCCGAGATGCTCGACACGTTGCTAACGACGCTCATAAGGGAGCTGCAGAACGAGAGCGTGCCCGGGAGGCTCGAGGAGGCCGTCGTCGTAGCGAGGAGATTCGTTAGATCCGTGGCGAGAATCTTTGTCATTTTCACAATTGAAATGGCACCCAATACGACGAAAAGGCGCAGGTGAGTGTCGCGTAATCAGCGCTCGTAATGATATTGTCGATCAAGGCAATCGATAAAGCGACATTATTGCAAGTTCATAAAGTAATTAATGCGCTGCGTTAATGTCTGGTGGTGTTTCAGTGCCAGCCAAGCGTCGCAGCCATTGATGAAATGCCGACGGATATTCCAAGCGCTGATCAAGCTAGCGGTCGAGGAGCTTTGCGAAACCGCCGATTCCCTTATAGCACCGGTTCGCTTGGGCGTTGCTCGACCAACCGCACCCTTTAGCCTCACGAGCTCCGCCATCGAAGTAATCAATGGCTCGGAGGAGTTATTTTCGATCGAGCCCCTTATACCTCACAGTGGCGTCAACTCGCAAAGCTTGGATTCCACGCTACAGGCGCAGCAAGGAAATAACAACATAACGATTAACCGAGATGTTTCAACAATGGACGAGACCGAACCAGGTGAAGGTAACGGCGACGTCAATGTACCTAAAGTAGAGTGACCTAGTCGACGAGGACGACGCGAGCACTTTATATAATTTTACAAAATTGTTTGACATATCCTATCCAACGTTCATGTCGTGTTACATTTTAAACTTTTTTTTTTTTTTTTTATCGAGCCTTCTCCTAAGTGTCCTAAGTGTAAAAAAGTAGTTAGTGGCCAAGATAAATTGTTATCGATAGCCAATGTAATGTTTGCGTTCATTAGAAGTACCGATGGATCTCGATGGTGACATTAGCGAACACGAAGAGTCATCTGCAGTGGTTAGTACGCAGCCTCTTGGTGAGGTGGACAGTGGCGCTGGGGGCACGGGCGAGGAGCCGGCTGGCGATGGTGAATCCGACACCGAGCTCGACTTGCTCGTTGAGGCGGAAACCGAGTCCGATTCGGATGACAATCACAGTAATCAGGATGCGGCCTCGGCTCAGCGCAGTGTTCAAACGGGCGCGACCGCTGGCTCGGACGGTGGCATGAACTCGATATTACTGTATCCGGAGGACGAATCCGGCGAGTCCAGCCAGCAAGAAGACGACGAGAGCGAGGCGGGAGAAACCGACGAGCAAGATACGGAAGAGTTTCAAATCGGCGACGAGCAGCTTGAACGACGGAGGTTGGCTTTTAACGAAGAGAATTTAAAGTCCGTCTGTGCGTTCGCGTAAAATGCGGGGGATTTTGTTAACGATCGTTTTGCATTTGCAGTGGCTCGACCGGGCAATCGCATCGCAATAATCTGGCACCAGTCTCGATGCAGTGGGCTATTCGTAACAGAGAGTCGAGCACGCGAACGTCGGGCTTGAGAGTGACAGGAGGTAGCAATTTGGTATTCATTGATCCATCGTCGCTTAGACGCTCGACAGCGACGTCGGCTGTACCCGCGGCTCAAGAGCCAATAACTATGGGCACGACCGCAAGCTGCTTAGCCAGAGCCTTTGGCATTGTCATTCGACAGATTGCCGATCTGCTGACGATGATGCAGGACTACAAAATGGTAGCTCCATCATTGCCAAGGACGTTGGAAGTGACTTTTTTGGACGCCATTGGCTTACAGGTTCGTTGCTCCTTCGTCCTCTCGTTTCGCCCGATCGATGCGAGCATTATAATTAAAGAAATATTTTTCATAGATGTACTTGGAGGCACACTTGAAGCCAACCTGGGACTGGCTGCTAACGGTAATGGACGCTACCGAAGCTCAATTACGATTCGGCGTTTCGTTGACGCGTAGTGCTGATCCAACGCACCCGGAGCATCCTCTCAATAGCGCGCCCACCTTGTCCGGTGGCAATTTTACAGGCTTGTTGAACTCGGCGGCCTTGTCACTGTCTCTGCAGGGTACTTCGGGCAGAAACGCGCGCACCGGTATAACAGCAACGTCCAATATTTCCACGTCGCAAAACTCGACGCGAGTCACAGTTGGTTTTACAGGAGTTAGCGAAGCTTCACGCACCAATCGAGAACGTAAATATATATATATACACATATATGTCATTACAGGAATTTGTATAAATTTGATGTAAGCGGGTTTTGCAAAAATGACTTGACTCGTTGTAGTAACTGTTGGTAAAGTTAACTTTTACATTTTCTTTAATTGAATCTTCAAAATTCAAAGACAAATTTTTTGTTAAGTATATTTTTCCATGAAATATGGATTAATTTAAAGCAATTAAGGCAATCAATTAAAACAATATTTAAATCATTTGAAATATAGGATAATAAATAATAGCTTCGAATTATTTATGAAAATAATAGTGTAACGATGTTTTGTAACAGCGGACTATTGCAACTATTGATTCGTTTTTGTCGAAATTCAGTTGATCAACAATTCTTTATGGCAATAAGCTGCTGGGCCAAGCTCGAATGATAAATTTCAGAATCAATTCCAACGAATTCATCCATTTTCAAATGCTTTTAACAATTCTAGGCGTCGAGGCACCATCTGCCAGGCGTGAATTCTTGTCTTATTGTTTGTCGCTCATGCGTGCTCACAACGGCGAGCACAGAGACAGTTTACCAGTACTTGATGTCTCGGCACTTCGACACGTCGCATACGTATTCGATGCCCTCGTGTATTACATGAGATCGTTATCAGAACCGCTTTCGTCGAGGGGTGACACACAAAAGGAAACATCCGATCCAGCATGGAATGATCAAGTATGATTTAGTTATTACTTTAAATAGACTATGACTTTATCCCGAATGTCTTTATTATTCATTATTAATATTTAATATTAATACCTTCTTTTTTTTTTTTTTTTTTTTTTTTTTTTTTAGAAAAGCTATGCCGATAATTTATTGATTATTTAATGATTTTTACTAGAATATCATAAAACTTGATAAAACACAAATGTCTTGGTTTTAACTTTATTTTATATTAATTACTTATAAAAAAAAAAAAAAAAAAAAAAAAAAAAGATGAAAAATATATGGAATATTAACATTTTTATCTTCTTTTTTTTCTTCCATACATTGTATCATTCCTTATAATAACTTGTAAGGAGGAATTTAGGAGAGAATAAATTCTAAAATGTACATTAAATATACATGCAGTTTGAATTAAATAGCAAAATGTTAATGCGATGCTCGTTAATTTTTCGTGTAGGACGAGAACGATAATGAGGAAGCTGAGGAAGACAGTTTGAATACCGCTACGACAATGGAGACAGACTCGGTAGACTACCCGGATCTCTTGAATATACCGTGCGCCTCGAGTAGTAACAGCGCCGGGAACACGACCAGCGGCAGCATAGCCAAGGGACGAAAGCACCCATTCCTTCAACGCTCGGACTCGACGCTCTGCCTCGGCTGTCCGCCCCTTGACCCCTTCGACACCGCATTGTCCGAGGCGTTGCCGCTCGCTGACCAGCCGCACCTTTTGCAGCCACACTCGAGACGCGAGGACCTATTTGGCGTGCCCCGACAGACGTCGACCGGCACCACGACCAGCTTCGAAGGTTTACCCACGAGGCTCGGACTCTCGGCCAGGAATGTCGAGGGCCAACTCAACTCGTCCACCCTAATCCTCGGTCATGCTCTCGAGCAGATTGCACGAAATCACGGACCGTCTGCGGGCAACGTTAATACGAGGCATGGAGGTGGCGGAGAGCCAGGGCCCAGTAAATTAAGCGTGAGTCCACTCGATAAATACCCTCATTTCAACGACATTTCACATAAATAAAATAGCGTATATTTTATGAATATGTTGCATACTTAATTTACTAGTCGCTTACTTTATAAAGGGACAAATTTTTCAATTTACCTACTAAAATTTTAATAGATTACAATCTATAATGTAATATCTATTATAGTGTAGTTGCATTATTAAGATTGATTAATGAAATTAAAAATTAAAGTTATATGTTATAAATCTTGTTAAAAGATTTAAGAAAAAAAAAAAAAAAAAAAGAAAAGAAAAAAAGTAAATAAAAAGCAAAGAAAACTCTTCATCGATAATCATTAAACTATATAAATTTATGAATTATTTTAAAATTTATTGTACACTTTTGTATATCATTGGGATGAAAAATATTTTTCCAATGTCACATATTTAAAAACATGTAATATTTACAACTTTTATATTGAGTTTTGGCATATCGTATGTAAATAATGTTAAATTGCCTTTTCCTCGGTTGAAATTTCATAAATGTATTGTTGTTCCAGGAGAAGCCAAAATTATTTAACCAGCCAACCGAGCCAGCTCAGGCAACCATAGCAGTTGTCGAGCAGCAAACCGATCGAGCCCCTATAATTGTTTCGCCAAATAATCAATCCATGGATATTGAGACAAACAGCAATAGTAACAACAGCCCTCCAAAGTCTTCAGCCAGCGGTAACAGCAGCACTAACGGCAATAGTAGTAGTAGTAACAACGGTAAAGATATTTTATGTAAGGTCGAGCGCAGTGTCATAGTCCGTGCTGGAAGTAGCAATAGCAATAGCAGTACGTGCGCCACAGAGTCTCCGAATAATGTAAATAAACAGGTAAATGGTCACCCATTAATGAATTAGCCTTTTTTTTTTTTTTTTTTTTTTTTTTTTTTTTTTTAAGCCTTTGCTGTATAAAGAAATGTCAATTGGCTTTAAAGAAATATAAATATTTTGTCGAAGGCAATAAATGTACTCTCTATTATTTTTAAGCACATTACACGAGTGATGTGTAAGGCAAAGGTTATTTGTAATTGAAATCGTGCTTTAATGAAAATTGATACAATTGGTTACGCGTAAATTTTCAATGCAGAAGCATGGAAATCTTGTGAAAATCATTTTCTTTAAAACGAATTCCAATAAGCTCGTTCTTATGAATGAATTAGCAATTGGTTGGAAATTCATGGAAGTACTTAAAATGATTAGAACGGGGTAATTTCTAATGTAAATTCTTATGTAACGAATGGAATTTGGTTGGCAGTCGAACGTCATCAGCCCAGAGGTGCTGGTAGCTGGTGTACAAGGTGAGGCGCAGACGGTCGGTGCGAACGAGGAAGTCGTGGATCTTGCAAGCACGGTATCGGCCCAGGAGATATCGGCACACGAAACGGTTGAAACGAGCCAGGCACCGGCAGAACCAGTCGTCATACCGCCAACACCCGCGAGAGCGCACGTCTCGAACATAGGAACCAAGATCTCGCATAACATTCTATTGGGAAGGTGGAGGCTATCCTTAGATTTATTTGGTAGGGTTTTCATGGAGGATGTGGGCTTGGAGGCTGGAAGTATAGTATCGGAATTGGGCGGATTCCCGGTAAAAGAAGCAAAATTCCGGAGAGACATGGAGAAGCTAAGAAATTCACAACAAAAGGATATCACGTTATCGAAAGTGAGTCATAAACTGTTAAATAAATTTTGCCATTTTCATTCGTCGTAATATAAAATATAGAATATGTTGCCAGTAATTGAAAGAAATAAAAGAGAGAGAGAGAGAGAGAGAGAGAGAGAGAGAGGTGGGATAAAAGAAAGAAAGAAAGAAAGAATGAAAAAAAAGTAATATATATATTTAATAGAAACGTAATTGCAAATTGATTTATCGATTCAAGGTGGAACGTGACAGAACACAGCTTCTTGTCCAAACGATGAAAGAATTAAATACACAGTATAACCTTTATAATAGGAGAGCGTCTAATACACCGCCCTTAGCAGTGAGTCGTGTAAAAGTCACATTCAAGGATGAACCGGGGGAAGGTTCGGGTGTGGCACGTAGTTTTTATACTGCAATAGCAGAGGTAAGCGAGAGTTTGAAATGGATTTTTTTTTGTTTTCTAATGAATTTGTATCAACGTAATTTTTATTATTAAAAAATTTACAGGCAATTTTAGCCAATGAAAAATTACCAAATCTTGAGGCAGCACAAGTAGGATCAAAATATGCGCAGTATAATGTGCTACAAAAGTTAAAAATCAAAGATCGCGATCGGGATCTTCGAAGACAAGTGAGCCACTTCATACTTATATCTTCTTAATATCGTCATTAAAATTATAAAATTATAAAATTATTATATTAGGGCTTTTTTTTTTTTTTTAACTCTTTATAATCTGTAATTTTCTGACATTCATCCATCGATTAAAAGGGAATAAAGAACTAAAATTGTGACTATACGGCTAGTGAATAATGACTCGGATATGATTTTGCCATTAAAATTCATGCACATTCGTGGAAGCAACGGCCAAGGAAAGAATTATGGACTCTTGATATTTTTAGAATCCTCGTTCATCCGGAAAGTGCAGAGAATCTCGTCGAGCTTTATCCGTCGAAGCTCGTCTCTTCCAACCCTCCACTTCATTAAAGGCTCGTTTATTTCATCCCTCCACGCTACTCGAAGGCTCAACCTCCAACCCCGGCAATTCCTCATCCGCGGCCGACCCGCCATCTTTCGGACATGCCAACAATGATCACCTGACGATGCATCAGCAGCAGCTCGGTGATCGTCTTTATCCAAAAGTCTACGCTTTGCAGCCGATGCACTCCGAAAAGATCACGGGTATGCTACTTGAAATGAATCCTGCACAGTTGTTAATGCTCCTTGCGTCCGAGGAGTCATTGAGGCAGAAGGTCGAGGAAGCCTTTGAGCTTATTCTCAGTCACAATCAAGGTCTTGCTAGTGAGGCTCTACTTGATCTTGATGTTTTCAATCTGACCGAACGCTGCGGTGCTAACAAGAAAAAGCAATTAGGTACGATAACCAGTGCGGCAACAAGAGCACGTAAAACATTCATAGTATTTATAAATTTGATGGTTTGCTTGACCGATTATTGGTAAAGGGAGACGAGAACTTTTACTGTTAAATTAATCGTACAAAATTCTATTTATCATAAGTTTTGTCTATGCGCGCGTGTTCGCGCAAACGCAAATTATTTCACCATTCCGTTGTCTTGCCGTAGTTTTGTAAGAAAACTTGTATCATAGAAAATAAATTTCCCACATTTAAAAATCCTTTTGTCGATGTTTTAGAGAGCTCGATTGCAGATGATACGGAGGATAACGCTCCATTATTTTACGCACCGGGAAAGCGTGGATTTTACACGCCAAGGCAGGGGAGAGCAAGTTACGAAAGACTTAATGCCTTCAGGAATGTCGGACGACTCATTGGACTCTGTTTGCAGCAAAACGAGTTGTGTCCTATATTCTTGAATCGGCATGTATTGAAATACATATTAGCGAGGCCAATAAGGTTCCACGATCTTGCATTTTTCGACTCGGTTATATACGAAAGTTTGCGGCAGCTCGTCGTCGATGCCGAGATTACGAACAGCAGCAATTTGTTCCATTTAGAGCTTACCTTTAGGTGAGTAATGATGGGTAATGAATGAAGAATGCACCACGAGTAATTCAAAAGCAAATAAATAATATTTTCACGTACGTCACATGTCTGGATATTATTGTAGCCTTGTATTATTGTCATAGACGTAAAATTATTCAAATAGAGGAAGAGGCAATGCAATAGCTATTAGCTCCCCTTAATTATATTATTGCCCACTCTCCTCGATACAATAAATATTTTTGTCAATCTTTTTCTCAATGTGAACTTTTAATTTAAAAGTGATATAGAGCAATTGTATTGAGCCCCGAGTCTCGTATAAAATATTAAATAAATATTACAGCGCATAAAAAACATCAATAACCAATTTGTTAATTAATTTATTATCAACTTTCGACATTGTAGCAAAGTGTGTATGCAAATGAAAATAATTTTCGGTATTTATAGCGCGGCGACACACGCCGCTTATCATTGTACACGTATTATTTACTTGCCAAACTGTTTTTATAATCTAAACTAATCCAAAGAGATGGATAATTGAATTTTTTTTAAAATCTATCAATTAAATATCATTGCCAAAATATAAATATGACAATTTTACATAAGAATATATTAAATACTAAATAATTTTTCAATGACAATTAGACATTAAATTTTAATTAGGCGATATTATATCCAAAATGTATGAAAGAAAAGAAAAACAAGAAATGAATTGATTCGCAAACTAAACCTTATCTTAAACTTATTTAATATAAGTCTCATTTATCATTTCAGTATTGACCTGTGTCCGGAGGAAGGTGGCGGCTCGATAGAATTAGTGCCCAACGGTCGGGATGTCGAGGTAACAGCCGCCAATCTCTACGATTATGTACGAAAGTACGCAGAAGTGCGGATGATCAAGGTTCAGGAGAAGGCGTTAGAGGCGATACGCGAAGGTGTGTTCGATGTTTTACCGGAAGGCGCACTCGATGGACTTACCGCTGAGGATCTGAGACTGTTGCTGAACGGAGTTGGCGACATCAATGTATCTGTGCTCATTTCGTATACGTCATTTAACGACGAGTCCGGAGAATCGACAGACAGACTCGTCAAGTTCAAACGTTGGCTTTGGTCCATCGTTGAGAAGATGTCGCACGTCGAGAGACAAGATTTGGTGAGTAGCAATTTGATTACCCTCTCTCTCTCTCTCTCTCTCTCTCTCTCTCTCTCTCTCTTGTTTATAAATTCAAATAGATGTATCAAAAAAAAATCTTTCCTTTTTTTGGGTTTTTTTTTTTTTTTTTTTAAGTAAGTAAATACCATTTTAATTTGTATGATTATTAAGAAAAATAAATTTAATTATGTCATAAGCATCTTGGAAATTTTATTCTAGCCTATTTTAGCGAATAGCTAATATTAAAATTAAGTTAAAGCTAGCTAGCTAACTGCCTGACTACCTACCTACCTACCTACCTACCTACTTATCTACCTACCTACCTACCTACCTACCTACCTACCTACCTACCTACCTACCTACCTAACC